TTGCTTATGCCTGTCTTTTAAATATGAATGAAAAAGTTACCATTTGTAGTTTTCCTTGAAGACTTAAAAGTCATGAACACTTGATTGTTTTTCATTTTACATAGTTTTTTCTTACACGGTCTTTTAAATATGAATGAAAGTTACCATTTGTAGTTTTCCTTGAAGACTTAAAAGTCATGAACACTTGATTGTTTTTCATTTTACATATTTTTTTCTTACAAGAATAATAGTCTTCAAATAAGTTATTTCTGCCTTGATGAAATTATTAAATGAGGTTGGAACATTGAACGTTCGTTACTGAATAAATTCCTAGATTTGTTTGCTGCTTGAAGGCAAAGTAAGTTTTAAACTGTAAGACTTTAAGGGAGTATATATATTTCTGTAAGATTAATAACAGCCAGCACTTTTGAGACAATTTTTTAGTATATCAAGTATAATACTAAGAATATAAGAGAAATTTAGGATGTGTAGGTTACAAAGCTAGAATAAAACCAAAGCTCTGAGAAAGAGGTTGTTTAGCAGGTAGACTGTACTGAATTGAATCTGGGAACTTTCCAGATTCTTTGAAAGGATAGAGAGGTGAAACTTCTTCTAGTGTTTGCAAAGTTAGAATAAATGTAGAATAAGCCGTAGGTCAGTGTGATCATACTGGGTTGTCTCTTTCAGACACACTTTTATACGTGGAAATACTTTTTGCGTAACAGCCCATTTGGGGTTAACTTTAACGAATAATTTAGGCTCATGCTCTTCTTTTTCAGCCCTGATGCTCTGATGATGTCAGGGGCAGAGCAGAACCCACAGGAGGGAGGCAGGGTTGACACAGTGTTCCAGCAGGAGGCTAGGTTGGAACACTGCATCAGGTAAGAGTAAAACTACACCCCTGCCTCCGGAAAAATACAGTCTTAAAGACTAACATTTGTGGGTGGGCAGGAAGCTCTTTGTTGGAGTACTTATATGGAGCAAAGTTGAAGGAGGTACAGTTTATTTCTAGACCGAATGGTTGTCCGTAGACTGACTCTTGGTTTCTAGAACATAGGAAAGAAGCAATGCGTAATTTTGCTAATTTATCCCAGAAACAATTTTTGGATTTTCTAGGACAACAATTTTTCAAACTTCTAAATCTTTTTTTGTTTGGTTGGTTTTTGTTGTTGTTGTCGTTGTTGTTTATTTCAATGTGGAACAAACTTTTAAATCTTTAGACCCCTTTAGACGTTCTTAAAATTTGTGGACCCCAAGAGTCTTCGTTTACATGGGTTAGATCTATCAAATACTTACATTATTAGAAATTAAAACTGATTAATTTTTGTTTTTACTTTATGTAAAAAAGCAATAATCCATTACCTATTGGCATAAATATTTTTAGGAAAATGACCATATTCTCCAAAATTAAAAAATTATAAAAGGGGTGGCATTATTTTACATTTTTGCGAATTTCTTTTACATCTGTCTTAATAGAAGACAACAAAATTGTCATAGTTGCTTCTGCATTGTCTGTTGGATATGTTGTTTTGTTTGAGGTATACCAGGGGTCTAAAAACTAAGCCCTGTGAGATAGATCCAGCCTACTGCCCATTTTTGACTAGCCCACAAGCCAAGAAAATTTTTTCTTTTTAATTGTTGAAAAGAAATCAAAAGAATATTTTATTACACATTAAAAATTGTATGAAATTCAAATTTCAGTGTCCATAAAAATTGTATTAGAACACAGCAGTGCTCATCGTTTATTTATGAATTGTCTAGGACTGCCTTTGCACCATAATGGTGGAGTTGAATTGTTGCAACAGATACCTTATAGCCACAAAACCTAAAATAGTTACTATCTGGCCTTATGGAGAAAACAGTTTCCAAGTTAAATCTAGCCTTACACAATAAAAGGAAGCACTATTTCGTGGCTTTTTCAGATAACGTAATTATTCTTTGGTACCACATCAAAGCACAAATGATAATTTCTTAAAGGTTACTTGCAGTGTGGAAGCTGAAGCCACTTTAATGCATTTTTTGTACTTTTACTTGATTTTATACCATAATGCATTGGATATTTGTAAAATATCAGATCATTGAGTTACACACATCTTTCAGATGTTGACATCTTTCATTATAAAATATTTAAAAAGTGTATTTGCTGATTTCACAACCTATCTTATCAAAGAAGCCTTTAAGTGCTGGAAGCTCTTGAGATTATGGACATGGATATACATTTTCTAAAATTTGAGTTTTCCCTTGAAACCCTCAGCATTGTCATTAGTAACCATTGGAAACAAATACTGAAAACATTGCTTTCCTTGAAATGACAAGCTCACTTCGTTCATTTTTGAGAAAATGCCTGCTCGATAACCAAGTCTGAATTATTATAGATTATCAGCTCTTCTTTCAAGAAAAATGGTGTTCCATGAAAAAAGTGGCTTGTTCAGCTTACAACTGAATCATACAAGTACTTTTGTGTGAGACAACCATTGTACCTATTCATATGCAGCAGAAGTGTTGTGTGTATATATTTCCCATTTTGACACATAGAGGAGGATGTGTTTTTAGGGCTGAGATTTAATAAAATTAATTTGTACTGCTTCATGAACATTCATAAGTGAGATCAGCATACATATTTATTTTCATTTATTTAAATTTAATGCTTATGTATGTGGGGGGGTAAAAAATACAATAACTGTAAGTGAAGAGTACAATGACTATATTTTGTTGCCACTGCCTTGATTCAGTGCAAATGTCAACATGGGAAAAGCATTATTACAAGAATAATTTTCACCTTTCAGATCTCTAAAAGAGTCTTGGGAAGGGACTCTTAGAAAGGAGTCTGTGGTCCACAGTTTGAGGACTACAACTCTAGGAAAATAACTCTATTGAAATGGCTGTAAAGTATAATTGTTTGGGTGACTAGCATTTCACTTCACAGCCTCAAGCAACTAGACCCACTGCAGCTTTGTACCAGTGAACCAGAAATATTTCGAGAATCTGTCCCAAATTATAACTGCCTTGAGGTGGGGATGTGGTACAGCCTGGCCCTAAATTTGTCAGTAGATGAAATCATGAGAACTGTGGTCTTGAAAGCCCAACCAGGACTTCCAGATTGCCCTTAGATTGATATTTAAAACTGAAGTAATAGAATCTTGTTTTAAATAAATTCTTTCAAAAATTAGTCATCCTGTAGTTAATACTGTTTTAATTCTATTTATTTTCTTCAATACTCACCTGCTTTGGGGAATCCCCTAAAGATACTTCTTTATTATTCTCCTAGTAGACTTTCACTTTCAGTAAATTGTCAAATTTATAGCTACTATTCCCCTTTCCCTTTGTTATCACTGGGGATAAAGGTTCATAATGTTTTTTTTCCCACTGAAAACTATCCAGTGAGGAATTTGCTACTACTGTTTATCCTAAATAATTTTTTCATAAGTTCTTCTCTAAGAACTTTGAGTTGAGGTCTTCATAGAATAATATCTGAAGTCTTCCTACCTCTATACTACCCAGACACTTCTATTGAGAAGATATAGGACTCAAGAAAGAAATAATTTCTGATCTTAGAAAACAAAAATTAGTCAGAGTACAATTCTGAACTGCAGATTAGAACTTGCAATGTGGTATAATTATAAAGGTATAACATCTAGGTAAGTAAAAAGGAAATATTTTGAGGGAGGCATGTAACAATAGCAGAAAGGACATTTGGAGAACTTTTTCAGCTATCAGTACTTAATTGTGGTCCTAGGAAAATGACAGTAAAGGAGAATGAAGTTAAATAAAAAACATTACCCAAGGCAACTGATTCAGTAAACACCTGAGTGCCCGTATGTATTAGGTCCTATGTTAGGCACTAAAACTTAAAGGATTTACTAATGAATAGATTGAAAAGTTAAAAGCTATACATTGCTAGGTTGTATTATATGGCTGTCTATTTAGAAATCTGAAGTATAGTGCTGTTTAATGGCAGCTGTCTTTCTGATGGAGAAACTCAGGTGCTGTTTTATTCAACTTGCCTATGGTCAGACACAATGATATTGAAATGATATTTTTGATAGGAGTTCTAAACCGATTAGGTACTCCCTGTTGACTGGGGTTATATTCAAAGCCAGCTTGGAAGAATTGGAATGAGAGTTTAGTGACCTTTGAAATTCCTTCTGTTTTTAAACATAATTTAGAGTTATTTTAAATTAAGGTTAACTATGCTTAAAAGTAGAATATGAGACCTCAAAATACTTTAAAAACCGTTTTGAAATAGTGTAATGGATTTGTAACTACCTCAGTTAAGTCTGTAAGTGCCAGTGAGCTTAGATAAAAGTTAAGTTTCATACGGGGCTTATTGACTTTGCTTTTTTCCCGTGGATGGGGCCTCTCTTCTTTTGCTGTGTACCTTGCAAGTATATGCTGTTTTTTGTTAACAAGGGAGATTTGTAGAGGATATGTGAGTGAGTTAGTATAAGTCAGCAGTTTCCAAAGTATATTCCAAGGGAATACTGAAGAATTTTATTTGATGAAAAGGATGTGTGTCTGGAAAAAAAATTGATTTAAACAAAGCTTATTTACTTCGAGACATCACAAGTCTTAATATACAAATGTGCATACGGATGCTCCAACAAAGAATTATTGTTTCCCCAAACTTGCTTGAGCAGAAAACCTAATTTTTCAAAGCCACCTTACTGATTAGTATTCCGTGGAAGAGAATACACTTTGGGAAACTGGTATAAATCTGTTTCTATTACCAGAAAATGATTTTAAAGCATGTGACCTATTGCAATATTACTATGTATAACCTTCTTTTTATTCCTAACTAGATTTTATTTTCATGAAAAACTGTGGTTTTGGGTAGACCATAAGTAGCAGGAATAAGTAATGTCTGTTAAAATGCTCACTCTGAGAACATGAGGAAAGGAGATTTACATTATATATTACTATTTGTGAAAATCATCTGTTAGCTTTTTTTAAAATAAGTAAATATGCCTAAAATAAACTACAGTGTAGTCTTTATAGAGAATTTCTCTATTTTTAAATTGCAGATGTTGGGGATCAGCCAGGTGAGGTAGGTTATTCAGGCTCTCCTGCTGAAGCTCCTCCAAGCAAGTCACCATCGATGCCGTCACTAAACCAGACATGGCCTGAGCTGAATCAGAGCAGTGAGGTTAGCAAAGCTTTCCTTTTCTTTCATTAAAAGTTAACTCTTTTAAGGTAAGATGTTCCAAAGAGGGTAATTTCAATCTGTCTCTTCCAGCATGCATGCATAATTGAGAGAATATATCAGATATACTATGATAAATGTTTGTAATTATGTGACTTTTTCGAGGTTTTCAAAGTATATATTCTGTCATTTGATTTCCACCACTTATCCCCATTAATACCTTGTGAGTTTAGAGAGGCAGATTTAGAAAGTTTAACCATCAAAAGGTAAATGACTTGGCCAAGATCTCATACCCAGTGAGGGGCAAGAGCTAGGATTTGAACATAAGTCCTTTGATACTTAGTCAACTGCCACATCCACCGTGTCACACTGCCTTCTCAGTCCTGTAAACAAGGTATGTAATAATACATTTGGGATCTTAGCATTGGAAATGATAAGAGAAGTGACTGATTCAGTTTCCATGTGAAGAAAGTATGTTTTACAACCCCAAAACTCTGTATAATTAGTTTTATTCAATATAGAATGTTTAGCCATATTGAATGTGTTAAAGATGTGTTATATATGACCAAGCACAGTATGCAAAATGGAATTTGGGACAAATGCACTGTTTCCCAATTTCTTTGAAACTGCATTATCTAAAACATCAAAAGGGCCACTGATAAGAATAAGGGAAGAGGAACTGAGGCCCTGCCTCCCCTAAAACACCTGCTTAGGCCCCTATTAGAGCAGTTTTCTTTGTGAACAAGTTACGTTTTTTTTTCTTATTTTTTTTTTCTTTTTGTAGCATGTAGGAAATGCTAAAAATATAAATATATAAAAGTTTGTTCACTTTCAGGAAGAAGTTCTAAGCTTCTGTCCTTTGCATGCCCTTTACAGCCAGAAAAATGCTGGATTGAAGAGCATGCTAGATATTAATGATTTTGGATGGTTGGAAAACAGAAGTAACTGTAGTTTTATACTACTTCCTGCTCTATGACATAATCGGAGCCAAGATACTTGTGTCTGAGACATTATAACATCACACCATCCATCCTACCATTGGATGCAAAACCATTAATACAAGTGCTTTTCTAGATGAAGGGAATAAACCTTGAAAGAATTTGCTAATAGAGAGGGTTTATGGAAAGTAAGGTAATTGTTGTTGAGACACTACTGTTTTTGCTGTGTCTATTCATTTTGTGTCATTTTTAAAAAACCAATATATTAAAAGAATATTTTTATTCCATTGATATCAGTTTGTAAACAAAAACAATTCTTTCTAAAGCATCTCAAATCTAAAGCCCATGTTCATTCTAAATAAAATCATATGTGATCATTAGAGACTAAAGATAGAAGTCCCTTCTAAATTCAGATAGTAGAAGTTGCATTTTTCCCTACTGAAATATTGCCATCAAGTTTTATTTATAGTATTTGGTAATGAGGTCATAATTTTTTTTCTATATGTGAAAAATCAAAATGTTAATAAAACATTGATTTTGAGACATTTAATGGTATTTCTAAAAATATCTAGTTAGGATATGGAATTTAGATTACATTTTAATTGTCTTCCACAAAGCACTAGTAATCTTTCAACATAGATTTATTTAGCATCTGTGGTTATGGATGAGACAGTATAGGAGATGACACTAATAATCTGTAACCTTTATGGAGCACTTTTGATATGTCAGTTCTGTTTTAAAAACAGTACAAAACAAACTCTTTATGTATATTAACTCCTTTAGTTCTCTGAACAATCTTATGAGGTAGATATTATGTTACAGATGGAGAAACTGAAGCACAGAGAAGTTATGTAACTTGCCCAAGTTTGCACAGCATAACTGGGATTCCAGTAGCTTGGTTCCACAGCTGTGAGCCCTTCAAAATTAAGTATGAAGATGATAAGAGTGTCCCTTTGTCCTCCAGGTAGCTTACATGCAGTCTTGTGAAACTAAGTTAAACTTCATGCCACCCAAATGAGATACACAAGTAAATACCTTCTTTTTGGCAAAAATCTTCTGTAAACTTTTCTCCACAGTTAGATAATTAGGATTTTAAAACTTCCTTTTCTGTCCCTGTAACAATAATTATTGAGGAAAAAACTAATTATATTAACAGATATTGATAAGTAACTTTCCTGAAATGATGCCACATGATAAAAGCAATTATTGTGGGATTTTTAATTCATGAAATACTTTGAATGGATCAGTATTTCTCAGAATATCTTAATTTTCGTATGAAAACTAATCTGTAGGAAAAGTGGAATTATTGTATTAGCCATTTTTGTAGGTAATTTTCACCAGTGTGCTCATTTGCTGATACTTAATTTTTACATATCTTCTCAACTTAAATGTCACTATTGTAAATAGTAAGTTGAACTTTGAAGCATAAAAATGTATACTTTCCCAAAGAGGATTTTGGTTTATGGGGTAGTTTTGTCTTTTGTGTAAATATTTGTGTGTATACATTGTGTGTGTGTAGATGTTTTTCCTCTTTAGAGGATAACTGATAATTCTTAAGAATCAGATTTAAATGATAATTTTGATACAATTTTGATGTAAAAATTCTATACCATTTTATTACTAAGATCTCCAAAACAAATGGAATTTACTATAATTAATATTGACTTATCACTCCACCTGTTTTAAGAGGTATGATATTTTTTTGTGTACCTCTTTTATAAGAGTAGTATTTCATATCAAAGTACATCTTCTGTATATAACTCATGCTCAGATGCTTGATTTGCTCTCATTGTGGCCGCATTCTGATTTTTCTAGCATGGGGTAGGGAGTGGGGAAGCGGGGGTGCCTGATTGGCAGTTCTGTCTTGTGATCTGGCATGGCCCTGTTTGTAGTGCTGATTGCAGGGGTTGACTTGCTACAGATTGACATAAGCTCTACATATATTAATTCCAGAATTCTTTGCATTTTATCTCAATTATATTTTATTAAATATCTATACATTTGTGTAAAATATGTGCACGTACATAATAGAATCATCTTTCAGGGGTCGCACTGGCAAGTCGCACTGACTTGCTTTGTTTTGAACAAAACTTTGATTCTTTAGGATCACAAAATCAGTACATTAACATTTGAATATTCAAAGAGGGATTTGATGTTATTCTTTCTTTAGTCAAGACATGCCTCTTTAGTATTTTTACTTGGTGGACATTTATGTCACTTAGACTTTGTTCCTGTATTGTGTTTTATTTTAATTCTGTAAGGCTTTAAATCTCTTCCATAGAGATTGCAATAAATCATTACTATACTTTTGATTGTGAAGCTCCTTACCTCACAAGATGACCCAGAATAAATATAAAATGTTGATGGAAAAATAGAAATTACTGAATTTTGTTAAACCTGTGAAACACAACTTGCAGTGCAACCTCTGAATTACTTTGCTAAATCTTCTCCAGTGATCTTTTACTCCATCTTTCTCATCATGCTGACTTGTCTCTCCTCTGTCTATTCAGCAGTGGGAGACATTTAGTGAACGCTCTTCAAGCTCACAAACTCTGACCCAATTTGATTCTAACATTGCACCAGCTGATCCTGTAAGTCAATCACTTAGCTTGCTTGTTTGAGATTAATTTTATTAACCCAAATTTCCATTCATTATCGTTTTTAGCTGATATGCATGATTCAGTGGAGTGCTTAGAAGGAAGTGGTGGCAGGCTTTTCAGTTTTTGTGTGCTTAATGGTGGGAAAGACATTTTTTGCCATTCCTTTTTTCTAGTTATTTTGTTGAGAGAAAACTACGTTTTTAAAATCTGGTACATGTGTCTAGAGAAGCATTTTTTGTGACAATCTATTTGGTTACCCTTATCATTTGCTAATTAAGTGTATATTTTATATACATACTGTTTATTTCAGTGTAGTGACACTTTATGTAAATACTATTTGTATGCTTACACATCATGTAATATGTACTACATATGTAACTATTTATGCAATGTCATCTTTTATTTTGACATGCCAAATGACATGGCTTTTATTTAATTAGTATGTTGAGTCCTGTTAGAGAGACTCAAGTTCAGCAATACAAGATGTTGGTCAAATACTCCCTTATGCAAAGGAGCCTCTGTCTTGTCTTCTTGTGGCTTACTGTGTTGCTTTGAAAATGCTACAAAGTTCACATCCTGATTTAAAAAATAAATTATATCCCCACAGAGTTAATTTAATATATGCTTCACCTGTCCCTTGGGTTTTTTGAAAACCTTAGCTGTTAATTGTTCTTCTCCCTGTTCACTTCTCTGCTTTTCCTTTTTCTCTCTTTATTTATATATATATATATTTAAAGACAAGGACGTGCTAATAAGCACTTTCCAAAAAGAAAAGAGGGAGTAAGCAGGAAGTGAAGAAGTGTGTAAAGGCAAGATTTTAAAAATGAGCTGAGTAGAAAGATACGGGGAAAATGACATAAGACATTCTTTTTACATGATCTGATCAAAGACAGCCAGCATTTATTAATTAAATGTAAAAATGGTCTTGTCATCTAAAGAGATTTTGAAGAAGTGGCATTTAAAGATAAAGTATACCTTTAGCAGTTAATGGGTCTTTGATGTGGTTTGTTTTTTGTTTTTTTGAGATGGAGTCTCGCTCTGTCGCCCAGGCTGGAGTGCAGTGGTGCGATCTCAGCTCACTGCAACCTCTGCCTCCTGGGTTCAACTGATTCTCCTACCTGAGCCTCCCGAGTAGCTGGGACTACAGGTGTCCACCACCACGCCCAGCTAATTTTGTGTGTGTGTGTGTATGTGTGTGTGTATATATATATTTTAGTAAAGGCGGGGTTTCACCATGTTGGCCAGGGTGATCTTGGACTCCTGACCTCCAATGATCCACCCACCTCGGCCTCCCAAAGTGCTGGGATTACAGGCTTGAGCCACCACGCCTGGCCTGATGTGTTTTATCATTTTAAAGAATTTATATGAAATCTAGAGGCTGCTGTTGTATTTATTGAATTCAAACATAATGTATGTTTTTTAAATGTTTATTTTATAGTCTATTAAGTATTCAAGGACCAGTTGATATGTAGATTATCTCTGCCTTTTGCTTCTCATTTCTTGCTACATTTAAGGCATTTATTTTTTGTTTTAGTCTCTGAAAAATGAAGGAGAAATACAAGGCAATGCTTGAAAACTTTGCTGCTTATTGGCAACTATAATTAAGATCTCTTAGGAATTGACAAGTTCTGTAAATTAAAAGTTTTACCTTTATGTTTTCTTTTTAAGTTTAAAGTTTTACCTTTAAGCTTTAAGTTTTGTTTCTCTATATTATTCCTGTCTCATTATTGTACAGTTAAGCTAATATGAAAGTACTTAATGAAAGTACTCTATATGGGAAGGAAGGTTTGATATAGCAATAAAGAAACTATTATATTCTCTAACCCTTAAAAAACAGGGACAGTAATCACACATAGTATTATGATTCTTTGTCAGGCCAGGCAAGAACATTATGTATAAAAATCTAGAACTCAGAAACAAAATAAACTGACCTATGGCTGACAGGAAATGTAGAGAAATAGTTGGTTGAATAGCAGTGATGTTCTTCACACTTCTTGGAAATAATACTCAAATTTGCAACTCTAGTGTCTAAAATTATGTGACTCAGTACTTTCCTTTGTTATCTCTAGTGTGTCAGGAGGCTCTCAGAAAATAGAGTGATTAATTTGCATTTTAAACTTGAATTTAGACCTCTGAATTTGATTTTAAAAATTGTCATTCTTAAATACTTATATTTATAATCTAATACCTAGAAATATCTTATTTATTTTATGGTGGCAAACTTAAATCTGATCTTTGTTTCCCAACCAGTATTCTTACTTTAAATTTTTTATTAGAGGAGTAGCCTGCCTTCTGTTAGTTGTGTCCTACAGTGTCTAAGTTTGTTAACCTTCATTTAATACTTACCTGAAGTATTACCCATCTACAGACCCACTACAGCCTGTAGCCACAATCCCACATGATCCTTTGCAAGGCTTTTATAAATAAGGATTATAAGTAAGTAAATAAGGCACATTCAGATTAGAAGGGAATCACCTAGGGGGAAGAAACCTAACACTTCTAATGTGAATTTAACATTTCTTACAGTATTGGAAATATTTAACGGACTATTAAAAAGAAACTAAATTATAATAATTTGCCATTTGCTCAGTAAAAGTCTGTACAAAGTTCCAAACTGGTCTGTAGCATTTAGAGACAACCACTACACAGTGCAGTGACCCCATTTGCAAACCAGATGGTTAGTTATTAAGCTTTCATAGTTCTGGTGAAATTGAGATTCTGATGGTCTTGTTTCCAGAAACTTGATCTCTTTTCTTGAACTGCTTGTCAGTTAATAGCCTTTGGTAGAATCTGCTTCTGCTAGGATATACATGAATGAAAACACTAGGAAAATTGTAGGTGGATGAGAAGTGTAATGCATTAATTAGTCTTTGCTGTGATTGATTGCACTGCAAATATATGAAAATGCTAGTTAACATTCCCAGCTGTTCCAAGCTTTATAAATCTGATTTTATATACACATACACATACATTGAATATAGATTTAGATGAATGTTATGAATTAAAGCATCTAAGAAGTTTTTCTTTTTTTAAATTCCTAATTTGCTTTCTGTTTGGAATAAGAACTTATTTTCTCATGAGCTATCATTTTTTTCTCCTTTAATCATGCCTTATAAAGGTATATTCTGATTTTCATAACAGTTATTTCTGGTATTAAATGTAAATTAAGAAAATAGTAGAGTTGCTCCTAAAGCCATGTTTTTATAACCAAAATATAACTTAATATCTTAAAGGTATTTTTATAAATACTTTCCTGAGAATGACTCATTATGTGACAAATCTAAACTTTCATCCACCTATAATGTTAATATTATTTATAACTATAATTTTTTAGTTGTAGGGCAAGTGTTAGGTTGATTGGTTAAGTACATGAACCCTGTTGAGATTCTCCCTGGTGTAGGGGCAAGAAATTACTTTGAATGAATTTGGTAGTATAATAGATGTAGAGAATTTGTTACCAGTTGTTGGAATTCAGAGATGAGCATAAGCCAAGGAGATATGTCAGATAAGAGAGGGTGTGCTGGAGCTTTGCCTTCTCTAGCAGGGGCTTGGTGTTAGCACAGTACTGTCTCACTAAAACAGTTTCCAACTTAAACTGAAAGGCCATTATCCTCCACACTAAATTATAAACTTAATTCATTACTAGATATTAAAAATTTAGGATCTCAAATTCAGTCTTTAGCAGCCGCACATACAGAGTGTGAACTGACCCCTCATAGGAGGAGCTGAGCCCCCTTGGTGATATTTCTCAGCTGGTCTATTGCTGTTAAGCTGGGTGCTTGATCTGGTTCTGGTTTCTGCCTTGGGAGTCTCAGTCCCCAAGATGAGCCCTACCTGTGTCCCAGGTACGCCTCTCTTTTCCTTCTTTTTCTGAGAGGCTACCATTGTCTTCATTCTCTCACCCTTTCTTTTGTGCTTTCATTCTAATCAGAAGTCTTTACTATCAATTCCTTTAGTCCTCTGACTGGACTAGACTCTAATCTAGTCTAGTTTAGAAATAATCAGCTGTATTACAGTAATGAAAAAGGTTTAAGAGAAGTATTACCTTGTTAGAATGGGAGTCTTGTTTCTCTTTTAAAAAAAGGATTCCTTTGTGGCAGTTTTGTGCTAAATTTTGAGACAATCAAATTTAAACACTTTGAATTAATCTGTAGGAAGTATGTATTGTGCCTACTATTGCAATGTCATAGGCATTTCAGTAACTTTGTTTCATACGTTTAAAAAAGTATCAAATTTTTTTGAGCAGTTTACTGAAAATGAGTTTTCAGTCTGTTATCTAGTTCTTGGATTCTCATGAAATAGTTTATTTCAACCTCAAGACTCACATTTGCATAATTTTGTCAGATCATTCCTCACTTTTTAATATTGTCTTGAACTGTGTTTTTATAAGAGCATGTTTTAAATGTAAATCTTACACACACACACACACACACACACACACACACACACACACACTTTTCGAGATGGGGTCTAGCTCTCACCTAGGGTGGAGTGAGATGGCATGATCACAGCTCACTGCAGGTTCCACTTCCCAGGCTCAAGGATTCTCCTACCTGGCCGGGCACAGTGGCTCAAGCCTGTAATCGCAGCACTTTTGTAGGCCGAGGTAGGCAGATCACAAGGTCAGGAGTTCGAGACCAGCCTGGCCAGCATGGTGAACCCCGATTCTACAGAAAAACAAAAACAAAAATTAGCTGGGCGTGGTGGCAGGTGCCTATAATCCCAGCTACTTGGGAGGCTGAGGCAGGAGAATCGCTTGGACCTGGGAGGCGGAAACTTGCAGTGAGCCAAGATTGCGCCACTGCACTCCAGCTTGGGTGACAGAGCAAGACTCCATCTCAAAAAAAAAAAAAAAAGGAACCTCCTACCCTAAGTAGCTGGGACTATAAGTCGTGGGCCATGGCCAGATAATTTTTATATTTTTTGAAGAGACAGTGTTCACTATGTTGCTTAGGCTGTTCTCTGGGCTCAAGTGATTCTCCTGCCTTGGCCTCCCAAAGTGCTGGCATTACAGGTGTGAGCCTCTGTGCCCAGCCTTCACGTAAATCTTTAATCACTCCACTTAAAAAGTTTTTTTTTTTTAATTAGCAGATATTAGGCATATATAGTGAGCTTGATTTTTAAATAGAATTCTAGAGCTTTTAACTTAAAAAGCTTATTTTCATGCCTGCCTTAGTGTAAATGGGAAAGCCTGTCCACTGGTTTTTACAGTTTTATTAGTTTTGGTTGTTGCATGGCATTAGCTTGACATTTTAATACAAATTCTGTATTTCCTCCCATTTGTCTCTAGGATACTGCTATTGTTCATCCAGTTCCCATTCGTATGACTCCAAGCAAAATCCACATGCAGGAAATGGAACTTAAAAGAACTGGCAGTGGTAAGGAAGCTGTTGCTGGTTTGTATTTTAGTTTTGCATCAAACTAAAATACATAAGTAATTTTTCTGTCAAGGTTCAATTTTCTTTCATCGTTGCTTATTTTTTAAGCTAGTACTTTCTATAATTATGTGTATGTTCATGCATATTTATTTATGTTGCAGTTTTTAAAAGGAATTTATTTTAAATTGTAGAGTTTTAAAATAAGGACATACGAAAATGTGACATTTCTAATACCCTGTGGGTTTTTATGGTCACCCTTGTAAATTTACATTTAAAATATGTTAAAACTTTAACTGAAGAGATATATGTTAAAATAAATTTTGGCTTGGAAATTATATATTTTACTTGAACTCTTGGAATGTCTCATTTTAGACTAAATGTTTCAGGGTTTCTCAAAGGTAGATTTTTTTTTTTGTATAAATCAGCGTTATAAATTAACTTACTTTACAGCTTATATATGTAGTGTTTTGTTTAAGTGTGCTACAGGAATAAAATTAAGTGTGAACATGCAAATAAACTTTTTCATTATAAACTATCTTCTATTATGACAGAAAATAAAATTCTAAGTAAATAGTTTTACATTCGTTTTTATTAAAAATATTATTTTGTCTTACATTTTATGTTTTTACCTGCCACTTGTTTGGATATTTAAATGAAGTCTTGCACTCTGGGCTTTATGAGTTTTATCAGTTCAAATACCTATATCTTGTATTTTTACCTATTAATTCATAGATCATACAAATCCCACTAGCCCATTACTTGTGAAACCATCTGACCTTTCAGAAGAAAATAAGATAAATTCATCAGTGAAATTTGCTTCTGGTAATACTGTAGGTAAGTGAAGTATTACATCTTCCATTTGAAGTTTACTAAGTCTGGATTTAGAGTCTGACTATTTCAGATGTGTACCCATTTAACACTGTCTTCACTAGATAACACTTTGGCCTGTCTGTGAATAAATGGTTGCCCATTGACTCCTGCTTCAATGCAGGCCTCCTGTTTGCCATCCCTCTCTGTGTAGCCAGGTTTGGTCTTATGGCTCTTTCCCAGTAGTTCCTTCCTTTTCTATCACACAAGAAATTGTGTATATGTTTATTCAGCCAGTGTTAATTGGATACAGTATACCAGGATCTGTTCTAGGCACTGGGGATTGAACAGTAAAAAAAGTCTTTGCTGCTATAGAGTTTACATTCTGTAAGGGAGATAAAGAGGGAATAAAAAGTAACTCTTATATTAGAAAGTAACTAATACTGTGGGTAAAAATAAAGCTGGGAGAGGGTGGAGAGAGTGCCATTTTAAATAGGATGGTCAAGGAAGACCTTACCAAAAAAATGTCATTTGAGTGAAAACTTGAAGGAGATGAATTAAGCTGTACAAACCCAGAAGGAAAATTAAGGCCCAACAGACAGCAAATGTAGAGCCCTAAGGCAGGACCTGCTTCTACTAGAATAGCAAGCAAATACCTGGAATAGAATTAGTTAGCAAATTTGACAGGGAAAGATAGCAGTGGTAGGACAGTAACAGGAGGCAGTGTCAGATTTTCTTTGACTTAGTGAGATGAAAAGCCAATCAAAGGTTTGAATGGAGGAGTGATGTGTTCTGAGCCTCCTTTTTAACTGGGTCACTCTGGCTGTCCTAATGATAATAGGCCAGAAGAAGGTGAGACAAAACAGAACACAATTTAGGAGACGGGTAATCAGGCAAGAGAAGATGGTGACAGCTTGGTGTCTAGGGTGCAAGCAGTGGAAGTGATAAGAAGTGGCTGGACTCTGGCTGTTGTGTACATTGTGGAGGAAAAGACCTCAAGAGTTGCTTTTACCTGTGTGGTATGGGATGTAAGAGAGAAAGGAGTCAAGGGTGGTTCCAGGGTTTTTGGCCTGTACAACAGGGAAATGAAGAAAACTGATAGCAGTAGGTTTGTAGGGAAAGAATCAAGTTCAGTTTCATATGTGTTAAACTCGAGGTGCCTGTTAAAATATCCAGATGGAAATATGTTCATTTTAATGTCATTCTTGTACCAACTAGATGATTCTGTGATTTACAAGAGACAGGAAGGAGATATATTTTGAAATACAACTAAAATAGCCAGTGCCTTCAGATTATGACTGTTGAACGTATATAGTAATATTCCTTCAGATTGTCTCTAGAGTTCCTATCTTAAAATTTCTTTTTTCTGTCACAACTCTTAGTCTATTTCTGGGATTCTCTTCTGTAAGCACATTTTATTCCCATGTCAAATTAACAATTTTAAAATTACTTTATTTAAAAGTTTCTAATTTGTTCTTTAAAAGTGACCTTTTTGTCCATTACAGAAGTAACATATTTATTGTAGAAATGTAATAGATAAAAATGAAATAATTATTTATATTCTCACTAGTCCACCAATGTCCATGATTAACAGATTCATTGTCAACTTTAGTTCTCATTCTGCACATACGTAAGTTATGTTTGTATCTAATGTGAAATTATAATACAGTCATCCCTCAATATGTTTAGGAAATTGGTTCTAGGACCCCCATGGGTACTAAAATCTGTGAATTTTCAGCTCTCTGATATGTGGAATGGTGTAGTATTTGCATGTAATCTATGCACATCCTCCTGTATACTTTAAATCATCTCTAGATTACTTATAATACTTAATACAATGTAAATAGTTGTTTTATTGGGCCAGGCACGGTGGCTCACACCTGTAATCCCAGCGCTTTGGGAAATCAAGGTAGGAGGATTGCTTAAACCCAGGAGTTAGAGACCAGACTGGACAATATAGCGAGACCTTATTTCTACCAAAAAAAAAGTGTGTGTGTATATATATATATATATATATATATATATATAAAAAAATATATATATATATATATATGCACGCACACACGCATGCGAACTGTATTAAAAAAAACAGTGGTCATGCTGTATGGTTTTTTATTTGTGTTATTTTTATTGTTGTATTGTTACTTTATTTTCTAATATTTTCTGTTTGTGGTTGGTTGAATCCTCAGCTGTGGAACCTACAGATACAGAACCACAGATTTGGAGGGCCACATTGTATATGTACTGTTTTGTGACTTATTTTGAATATTTCTGCATCATTAAGTATTCATTATTTTTTCTAGACTATAACTTGCTTTGTCTACTGTGTAAATATGCCATGATTTATTTGATTTGTAGTTAATTTTTTACAGTTAATAACACCAGGATGAACTGTTAGCCTATTAGCCAATCTTTGACTATCTCTGGCTTGAAACAGCATATCAATTATTTGTTTGGAGTAGATAGAGCAAAAAGTAAAGAAATGATTATTATTAAATAGGACATATCCCATTTATCAGCAGATGGTTACAGTAGTTCAGACTCTTTTACTTCTGACCCAGAACAGATCGGGAGCAATGTAACTCGTCAAAGGTCAGTATTTCTGTCAATGAAAAGCATGTTAAACTATCTTGCTGCATTTTAATGTTTAAAACTATTTAGAACGAAGCACAAATGATTTTGTTATCTGAAAGCTGGTAGGTTACTTTTTGATTTATGTAAAAGACAAGTAATTTTGATCCTTTCCACTTGAATAGAAAAACAAAAAGAACCCTGGCTTTCTAAATGGTATTTTGTGGAAGCTTTAAAAAGAGGTGATAACTTCTTGGCGATAGAAGTTTTGTAAGTCCTTTTTGTACCTAAAGAGTGAGAGTCTGTTAAGTAATACATGTATAGCCTTATGGCAAGTACCAAAAGAATTCTGTGTTTTAAAACACCATCCAAAAGCACAGTCCAGTGGTGGGCCACCTCCCCACCCTGAAGTTCTACATTACATATAACCTTTCAGGCACAAACAAGAAAGGTGTGGGATAGGGTGGAGGATGGCTAGAGATTTGTCTGCAAGGGCTTTACCATCCACTAAAAATTGTGCAGGACAGAAGCGTCTTTCTCTCCTCACTTTTTGCACGTGGTAAGTATCATTTTACTGCATGCCTGGTGTAGCGAGGATGCAGAATCTCCAAACAGCTTAGAGTCAGAAGGCTGCTTGTCTTCCTTTCTGATTCTTCATGTAGTTCTTCCTGTGTTTCTTAGCATTCTCAGTCATCTTGGATTTTACTCTGCTGTTTATTCTCATATGTGAAGATCAGATTACCAGAGTCCTTGGAGACTCTTTTCAGAATATGAAAGACTTTGGTAGCAAAGAAGTGAATCTCTAGGGTTCGTTGAGTTTGAGCATAGTCACCTCTAAAATGAGATGGTCTGTGTGGACACATGAAAGGGTACTTCAGCTCACCAAAATCCAGACCTTAATAGGTTGAAAGCTAACCATATCTGAAAGTAGACTTCCCTTTTTACGATTTTTTTTTTCAGACTATTATTACCTTTAATTGAATGGGAAAGATTACACTAAGTATGCAGTCTATTATGAAATCATGTTGACAACTAAATTTCTTTTCAAAATTTTTGAGGCTGGGCACATCTGTAATCCTAGCGCTTTGGGAGGCTGAGGTGGGCGGATCACCTGAAGTCAGGAGTTCGAGACCAGCCTGGCCAACATGGTGAAACCCCGTCTCTACTAAATACAAAAATTAGCCGGGCGTAGTAGCATGCACCTGTAATTCCAGCTACTCGGGAGCTGAAGCAGGAGAATCGCTTGAACCCAGGAAGTGGAGATTGCAGTGAGCCAAGATGGTGTCACTGCACTCCAGCCTGCGCAACAGAGTGAGACTGTCTCAAAAAAAAATTGAAATTTTGCTTAATAACTTTATTTAAAAAAATTGTTAGCCACATAAAATAATCAGTTTAGGATACATCAAAAAACAGTGCTATCTTAATTTATTGTAACACTTACATACTTGAGTGTTGAGAAAATGTCATGCTAATAAGATCCTTTGCTGCTTAGTCAAGTTTGAATGTTTAAAAAGAAAAAAGCTCTGATATCAGTAGTATGACCAATTATGATGGGGTGAATTTTACAGATCTCATTCAGGAACATCGCCTGATAACACTGCACCACCACCTCCCCCTCCAAGGCCACAGCCCTCTCATTCCAGATCATCGTCTTTAGATATGAATCGGACCTTTACAGTCACCACAGGTAGGGGCTAGAGAACCATAATATACATTATCATTTAATTTTAAAGTTAATCCAACACACATACACATTTTATTTTTGTTTCTATTAACATGTCTTTTAAAAATATTTATCTGGCCGGGTGTGGTTGTTCACACCTGTAATCCCAGCACTCTGAGAGGCAGGCAGATCACTTGAGGTCACAAGTTCGAGACCAGCCTGACCAACATGGTGAAACCCCATCTCTACTAAAAACACAAAAATTAGCCAGAGGTGGTGGTGCATGTCTGTGGTCCCAGCTACTTGGGAGGCTGAGGTGGGAGAATCCCTTGAACCAGGGAAGCAGAGGTTTCAGTGAGCCAAGATTATTTCACTGCACTGCAGCCTGGGTGACAGAGTGAGACCCTGTCTCAAAAAAAAAAAAAATTATCTGAAGGAAAATTCGGGTTAAAAAGATAGCAGATGAGAGGCAATTTTTTTTTCTTAACGACTACTTAAAGTGTGTTTGAGTGCAAATGATGAAGATGGGAACCTGAGAGATGTCACGGGAAATTTTAAAAGAACAATGTTGTGATATCAAGTTGGGGGGACTGATAGATCTCAATTTGGCTGATGAAGATGAAAAGTCATAATTTACCCAGGTTTTCAATTTTTGAAGAACTGGCATTATTGTTGTTACCTTGGTTAACATAGAAAAGTTAGGGCAGAGGATGATGAAGTGATGTTTTAGTCACTATGAGTTTAGAATGGTGAGGAAAAGTGAAGTGTTAAGTGAAAGGGAAATTTGGAAGTTTTCCTGTGATACTTAAACAGTAGTCAGAGATATGAGAAGAAAATCAAGGTTGTTTACTATTATGGAAATAGGCAGGAGTATGCCAGGAGGGCTTCATGTGATAGAGGTAAGAAGCAAAGCAACAACTTATGAAAGGCTGTCAGATTTGGTCTTTAGGTTACATATAGACCGTGTAACAAGTTAGTACCTGCCTTCTAATACTTAACAAACATTCTTAGAAATCTTTATCATGTAGTCACATTCATTCAGCCTATTTCTTCTATTAACAAAGTGATTATACAGTTACTAAAAAGAAGACTTTTGTATTCATGCAGGACAACAACAGGTTGGAGTTGTTGCCCATCCTCCTGCAGTGCCTCCAAGACCACAGCCCTCACAGGTAATTCTCCAAGGTATTTATTACTAAACGTCCCATGATCACTTTTCTTGCTAGGTATTTAATTCTGTTCTCAAATTATTTGGAAGGTCAGGAATGATCTGATGGTCATCCTTAATGAGCATTTAATTCAGTGAGGCTAAATCTCATTTTGAAAGATACACATTTCTAGAATGATCTGAGTTGTTTTTTGAAAGAGCCTTAAAAGTGAAAGAAATGATAATGTCTTGACAGAGAAGAGTTTAGTTGAAACAACAATGGATTGGGAGATAGGAGAGATCCATTACTGTCCTGGGTGTAGCAGTGACTCACAAAATCACTTGACTGGGCTGGGTGCAGTGGTTCACACTTGTAATTGCAGCACTTTGGGAGTCTAAGGCAGTAGGATTTCTCAAGCCCAGGAGTTCCAGACCAGCCTGGGCAACATAGTGAGACCCCCGTCTCTAAAAACAAAAAAAAAATTAGCTGGGTGTGGTGGTGTGCACCTGTAGTCCCAACTACTTGGAAGGCTGAGGTGGGAGGATCTCTTGAGCCTGAGAGGTCAGGGTTGCAGTGAGCTGCACTCCAGCCTGGGTGACAGAGTGAGACCCTGTCTCAAAACAAAACAAGATACCCCAAAATAACCTCACTGCATCTCTCTGGATGTGTTTACTACATGAGTTAAGGAAGTATAATGACCTCTGCATCCCTTCCCCATCAAAATTAAGAGTGCTGTAGTAGACATTTATAAAATGCTTTGGGACAGCCTTAGTGGCTGAAGTTAAGGATCACATTATACATAAAATGTTGGAATGAGACTTAGCAGGGACTTAAAAGATAAATTGGAATTTATTGGAGAGAAGGTATTCCAAACCGAAGGAATGACATCCACAAAGCCATGGAAGTGTGTGTTAAGCCTGGCACATTCCTCAGGGGAAAACAAGTTCGTTCAGCACAGCAGGAGTAGATGTGCGGAGTGATGGGAAATGACGCTAGAGAGGTAGGGAGGAGGCAGAGCATCTCCCATATCATAGTAAGAAGGACAGAGTTTTTCTTAGAGGAGATGAAGAATTTTTAAAGGGAAGAGACTTCAGATATCTTTCTTTAGTATCCTTTACTTCCTTTGTCATAAAACATCTCACACTCTATTTTAATTTCTTATTTACTTATTCTCTTCTGCTCCAGAGAGAAGCAACTTTATTAGGGTATAAGCGGGCCTCATTTGTTTTGTTCACAAGTAGATATTCAGTAGACATATTTTTAGACTGAAGATGGAGCAGCATTGGTCTGGCAAAGGAGTGGAAGATGGATTGAAGGGAAGTGTTCCTGACATGTTGGGAGAATAGTTAGAGCAGTGGTTTTCACACTTTAAAAAGAGCAACCTTTTTAAGAAACATAGTGAAACATTAAAAAAAAATAACTTATTTAAGGAACAAACTATTGTGTATTAGCCCAGTTAGGAAAAAAATACATGCAAATGGAGAATGGGGGTAGGGCCAGCCCTACCCTCTCCTTCAGTGTACTTTCTTTGCAATATAGTTTTTGAAAAAAATATCTTTTTATTGGAAGTTTATTATCTTAATTTTTTTTTAGTGTCTTAGCTTTTCACTTACGGTTTAATCATTTATTTAGAGCTAAATGTTACTGTAATACACCTCTCTGAACTTACAGATAATAAAACAGGGCATCTTTATATACTAAATTTTCAAAGAAGAAGAAGATGACTCTGTGGCACTGATAGGCTGATAAAATGTGTGTTCCTCTGTTTTGAACCATTGCACAGGCTCCTGGTCCCGCTGTGCATCGCCCAGTGGATGCCGATGGCCTCATAACTCACACTAGTACCTCACCTCAGCAGATACCAGAGCAACCAAATTTTGCAGATTTCAGCCAATTTGAAGTATTTGCTGCATCAAATGTAAATGAAGAACAAGATGATGAAGCCGAGAAACATCCAGAAGTCCTGCCGGTCAGTTTTCAAGGGCTTGGCTAATTTTCTGCAGGCAGTCACTTCCCGTACCATGTTGAGTCAACAGAGCAGATATTAGAGGTGACATCAGTGAGTAAAATATTCCCTAGGTCAGTGCTTCTCAACTTTTTTATTGACCTCCAATGTCTGCTGGTTGCAGTGTAATGCTTACTGAGTATCAGAGTCTGGTGGCGGTGGGGGATTGATACCACATGAAAAGACACCACCACCTGGCTGTGGCTAAAACACTGCTTTGGGGGTTTCCATCTTAATGCTAAGCATCTGACTGCGTGATTTGGTGAAGATTTCCATGTGATAAAAGGCCATGGTTACCATAGCTCCACTCATTACAACTTTTCCACAAGGGGACCTTCACTAGATGTAACTTTTAGATCTAATTACAACTTTAACTATAACCAAATTTCAGCCAAACTTCTAATTAAAGCATTTACAATTTGTATGAGACTAAGTTGCCTTAGCTAAGCAAAGACAATAGGATATCAAAATTTAATATTCAGTGTTCTAGGACATTCTGTTGTAGTTCCAATGGCAAGAACTTCTCTAGGAATCTCTGACCTAAATTGCTGACCATAAATGTGGAGTTGGAAAGACCAGAGGAATTCTGCAGTCTCTTTCATATAGATCATGGCCATGGAAAATTTCCTACCAGCTCCCTTTTCAAACCTATAACTTTCTGCTGTGCCCATTAGGGGACTGGGCTGCATCTAGGAGGGTCAGAGTGGGCATGTAGAGGTGTGCACAGGGTACCGTACTCACTCCCCTGGGTGGATGCCTGCCTCTCCCAACCACAAGGACTTCCCAGACTAAGCACTTAGAGGTTCAGTGCAGTGGCTGCATCCTCACCCTGTCTTCCTCTCCCTCACACATCTATTACCTGCATCCTCGCCCCATCCTCGTCTCCCTCACACATCTATTACCTGCATTCTCACCCCGTCCTCCTCTCCCTCACACATCTATTACCTGCATTCTAACCCCATCCTCTATTTCAGATGTGTACCCATTTAACACTGTCTTCACTAGATAACACTTTGGCTCGTTCAGAATAAATGGTTGCCCATTGACTCCTGCTTCAATGCAGGTTTGCTCTTGCCACCCTCTCTGTGTAGCCAGGTTTGGTCTTATGGCTCTTTCAGTTCTTCCTTTCTATCACACAAGAAATTTATATGTTTATTCAGCCAGTGTTAATTGATACAGTATACCAGATTCATTCTAAATTGGGGATTGAACAGTAAAAAAGTTCCTTTGTTGCTATAGAGTTTACACTTGTAAGGGAGATAAAGAGTAATAAAAGTAACTCTTATATTAGAAAGTAACTAATACTGTGGGTAAAAATAAAGCTGGGAGAGGGTGGAGAGAGTGCCATTTTAAATAGGATGGTCAAGGAAGACTCTCAACAAAAATGTCATTGAGTGAAAACTTGGAAGGAAAGATGAATTAAGCTGTACAAACCCAGAAGGAAAATTACACCCAACAGACAGCAAATGGAGCTCTAAGGCAGACCTGCTTCTACTAGAATAGCAAGCAAATACCTGGAATAGAATTAGTTAGCAAATTTGAGGTGGGAAAGATAGCAGTGGTAGGACAGTAACAGGAGGCAGTGTCAGATTTTCTTTGACTTAGTGAGATGAAAAGCCAATCAAAGGTTTGAATGGTGATGATGTGTGTTCTTGAGCCTCCTTTTTAACTGGAGTCACTGGCTGTCCTAATGATAATAGGGCCAGAAGAAGGTGAGACAAAACAGAACACAATTTAGGAGACGGGTAATCAGGCAAGAGAAAGATGTGGCACAGCTTGGAGGTCTAGGTAAAGCAGGGAAGGATAAGAAGTGGCTGGACTCTGGCTGTTGTGTGGCATTGTGAGGAAAGTAGACCGGGAGGTTGCTTTTACCTGTGTGGTAAGGGGACAGAGAGAAAGAGCTGGCAGCGGGTGTTCCAGGGCTTGGCCCAAAGCAACAGGGAAAGGAAGAAAACTGATAGTGTAGGTTGTAGGGAAAGAATCGTGGAATGCAGTTTATATGTGTTAACCTGAGGTGCCTGTTAAAATATCCAGATGGAAATATATGTTCATTTTAATGTTTACTTGGGAAATGAACTAAGATTCTGTGATTTACAAGAGACAGGAAGGGAGATATATTTGAAATACACTGCAAAATAGCCAGTGTTTCAGATTATGACTGTTGGAATTATATATAATATTCCTTCAGATTGTCTCTAGAGTTCCTATCTTACACCTTTTCTGTCATGAACTTAAGCTCTATTTCTGGGATTCTCTTCTGTAAGCACATTTTATTCCCATGTCAATTAATAATTTAAATGCCTATTTAAAAGTTAATTTGTTCTTTAAAAGACTTTTACCCATTACAGAAGTAATAGTATTTATTGTAGAAATGTAATAGATAAAATGAAATAATTATTTATATTCTCACTAGTCCACCAATGTCCATGATTAACAGATTCATTGTCAACTTTAGTTCTCATTCTGCACATACGTAAGTTATGTCATTCAATGAAATTATAATACAGCCTAATCTTCTGAATATGTTTAGGAAATTATTCTAGGACTCCCATGGGTACTAAAATCTGTGAATTTTCAGCCTCTGATATGTGGAATGGTGTAGTATTTGCATGCACTGCATATCTCTCGTATACTTTAAATCATCTCTAGATTATTTATAATACTTAATACAAATGTAATAGTTTTATTGGGCTACAGTAATGTGTCACACCTGTAATCCCAAAGCGCTGGGGGAAACTGTAGGAGGATTGCTTAAACCCAGGAGTTAGAGACTGACTATTATATAGCGAATTTATTTCTACTAAAAAAGGTGTGTGTATATATATATATATATATATATATATATAAATAAAAATATATATATATATATATATGCACGCACACACGATGCGAACTGTATTAAAAAACAGTGGTCATGCTGTGCGGTTTTTATTTGTGTTATTTTTTATTGTTGTATTGTTACTTTATTTTCTAATATTTTGCTTGAAGGTTGAACTCTCAGCTGTGAACCTACAGATACAGAACTGCCAGATCGGGAGGCCACATTGTATATGTACTGTTTTGTGCACTTATTTCAGAATATTTTGCATCATTGCTATTCATTATTTTTCTAGACTATAACTTGCTTTGTCTACTGTGTAAATATGCCATTACTCTATTTGATTTGTACAATTTTACAGTTAATAACACCAGGATGAACTGTTAGGCCTATTAGCCAATCTTGACTATCTCTATTTAGCAGCATATCAATTATTTGTTTGGAGAGATAGATAAAAGAAAGAAGATTATTATTAGCATATATCCTGATGATTAAAAGAGATGAGCAGTAGTTCGTTGACTCTTTTACTTCTGACCCAGAACAGATCGGGAGCAATGTAACTCGTCAAAGGTCAGTATTTCGCCAATGAAAGCATGTTAAACTATCTTGCTGCATTTTAATGTTTAAAACTATTTAGAACGAAGCACAAATGATTTTGTTATCTGAAAGCTGGTAGGTTACTTTTGATTTATGTAGCATAAGTAATTTTGATCCTTTCACTTGAATAGAAAATAATAAAGAACTCTGGCTTTCAATGGTATTTTGTGTAGAAGCTTGTTATAAAAGAGGTATAACTTCTTGGCGAAGTTTTGTGAGTCCTTTTGTACCTAAAGAGTGAGAGTCTGTTAGCTATAATACATGTATAGCCTTATGGCAAGTGTCAAAAGAATTGTGTTTTAAAACACCATCCAAAAGCACAGTCCAGTGGTGGCCACTCCTCCCCCACCCTGGAAGTTCTACATTTACATACAACCTTTCAGGCACAAACAGGGAAAGGGGGGATAGGGTGGAGACATAGAGATTTTGTTCAAAGGCTTTTAGCCATCCATCATATACTGCAGGACAGAAGCGCTTTTCTCCTCACTTTTGCACGTGGTGGTGATTACTTTTAACACATGCCTGTGAGTGAGATGAATCTCCAAACAGCTTAGGAGTCAGAAGGTTTGCCTCTTTCTACTCCTTCAGTTCTTCCTGTGTTTCTTAAAGATTCTCAGTCATCTTGGATTTTACTCTGCTGTTTATTCTCATGTGAAGATCATTACCAGAGTCCTTGGAGACTCTTTCAGAATATGAAAGACTTTGCAGCAAAAGTGCTAGAATCTCTAGGTTCGCTGAGTTTGAGTATAGTCACCTCTAAAATGAGATAGTCTGTGTGGACACATGAAAGGGTACTTCAGCTCACCAAAATCCACCTTAACAGGTTGAAAGCTAACCACATTCAAAAGTAGACTTCCCTTTACGATTTTTTTTTTCAGACTATTATTACCTTTAATTGAATGGTGATTATAATTGGGTATGTGCTCATTATGAAATCAAAGCATGGATAAATCAATTTCTTTTCTGTACTTTGAGGCTGGGCACATCTGTAATCCTAGCTTTGGGAGGCTGAGGTGGGCGGATCACCTGAAGTCAGGAGTTCGAGACCAGCCTGCCAACATGGTGAAACCCCGTCTCTACTAAAAATACAAAATTAGCCGGGCGTAGCATGCACTGTAATTCCAGCTACTCGGGAGCTGAAGCAGGAGAAATGCTTTGAACTCCAGGAAGGAGATTGCAGTGAGCCAAGATGGTGCCAATGCACCCGCAGCCTACAACAGAGTGAGACTGTTCCCAAAAAAAAAAATTGAAATTTTGCTTAATAACTTTATTTAAAAATTGTTAGCTATAAAATAATCAGTTTAGGATACAATTAAAAACAAAGTTATCTTTTAATTTATTGTAACACTTACATACTTGAGTGTTGAGAAAATGTCATGCCAATAAGATCCTTGCTGCTTTAGGTCAAGTTTAATGTTAGAAAGAAAAAATGAGATATCAGCAGATGACCAATTGATGGGGGTGAATTTACAGATCTCATTCAGGAACACGCTTGATAATACTGTACCACCACCTCCTCCAAGGCCACAGCCCTCTCTATTCCAGATCGCCTTGATATGAATCGGACTTTACAGCTACTCACAGGTAGGGGCTAGAGAACCATAACATACATTAATACTTAATTTTAAAGTTAATCCAACACACATACATTTTATTTTTGTTTCTAATAATATGTCTTTTAAAAATATTTATCTGGCTTTGGAAAAGTTGTTCACACCTGTAATCCCAGAAATTCTGGAGAGGCAGGCAGATCACTTGAGGTCACAAGTTCGAGACCAGCCTGACCAACATGGCAGAAACTTACCCTACTAAAAACACAAAATTAGCCAGAGGTGGTGGTGCATGTCTGTGGTCCCAGCTACTTGGGAGGCTGAGGTGGGAGAATCCCTTGAACCAGGGAATGAAGAGGTTTCAGTGAGCCAAGATTATTTCACTGCACTGCAGCCTGGGTGATGAGTGAGACCTGTCTCAAAAAAAAAAATTATCTGAATACACCTGAAGTGAAAAGATAGCAGATGAGAGGCAATTTTTTTTTCTTAACTATTACTTGTACAAAGCTGATGCAAACAATAAGATGAACCTGAGAGATGTCACGGGAAATGTAAAAAGAACAATGTTAGAATGCTGGGACTGATGATCCTTCACTTGGGCTGATGAAGATGAAAAGTCATATCAACTAGGTTAATTTGAAGAACTAAAATATTATGGCAATTAACATAAAGTTAGTAGAGAACATGAAGAGTTTTGAGTCACCATGAGTTTAGAATGGTGAGAAAAGGCAAGGGGTTATGAAAGTGGAATTGAAGTTTTTCCTGTGATACTTAAACAGTAGCTGAGATATAAGAAAAATCATGGCTGCTTATTGTTATGTGGAAATAGGCAGGAGTATGCCAGAGCTTCATGATAGATAAGAAGCAAAGCAAATAACTATGAAAAGGCCAATGATCTTACATTCTTAGTTAGCATATAGACCTGCAATGCTGAATGCCTTCAATACTTAACAAACATTTTAGAAAC